TCTATGCTGCTTGTAGGGATGCCTCAAGTGGTATAGTTGTAAATATTTCTTGTATATATTCTTTTTATTTTATTTATCATTTTTAGGCCAGCAGTGCTTCTATTAGTACTGTAGAGAGAGATTGTGCAATAGAGTTTTGAGTAGGCTCTGAGCTGTGTGCAGATACAGAGGCCTGGTATAGAGTATTGAGAACCCTGAGCTGTGTGCGGATACAGGGAGATTTATATATTGGACATTTTTTTATTTATTTTATCTTATATATTTATTGGACACATTCCAAGCTGTATTTGAATTTACATGCTCACAATGTGTTTGATTCAATAATAACTCATTTATTTCAAATTCATCATCTTCACTATTTGTAGAAAGTAAATCCACCTCTTCTTCTTGAAGTAACAAATTTTCCCATTCACTAATTAATCTATTCCAATCAGATCCATCATTCGTTTCTTCTTCCTCCTCTAAATTGTCTTCACTGTTATTATTTAATTCTTGGATATCTGTAGAATCTTCACTTATTTCTAAATCTATTGGTCCAGCAATGTTTTCTGTTGATTTTTGTTTATGAATAGCTTCCACTTCATTAACTTTATGTTGATATGTAATTGAAGCATGTAATTTGCTCATATTGATAGCTTTTTTGAACTATATATATTAAATGAAAAATTTATCAGAATAATAAAATTATAAAAATTGTACATGTTTATAATTACTTACATCTAATCTATTTCTTCGTTTTGTTTGAAGTGAACTAAGGATACTGGCTGCAACTTTTGATGATGGTTGCTACCATCTTTGTGTCATATAAAAACGATTGCAACCACCTTTACAACCATTTTGTTTCCTTTTTTGGATTGCGACATGGAACACTAAAGTGAACCCATACATGACCACAATCTCTCAACTGATGCAGCATTAACACAGACCCCAAAAATATGTTGAGCAACATATCCAAGTTCTTTTGCTGTTGGAGTAACCCACACCCAAAAATCTAATATGTCTTCATTAAATTGATTTATTGTATTTTCATCAAAAGGATATTGTTTTTTCCTAAATTTTTCATATTCCCATAAAATTGATTGTGACTTCATATTTGACCAAGCCTCATAATAATATATTAACCATTTACATAGGTAAACTCGATAAGTCGGACACAAATGGCTGGACGTGGTGTCCGACTTATCAAGAGATCCAACTTATCAAAATATGCAATTTTACAAAAAAAAAAAAAAAAAAAAAATAAGAAAATCGTTGTTTAAATCATATTTATTTATTTATAATAATAATTGAAAAAATAATTTAATAAAACAGATAGAA